CAACTATAGCTGATTGTTTAATGAAATTTAGGCATGAATCGATGTAGTGTAATAAATATTTAACCCAAATATTATTTATAAATTTTAAATAAATTATCATAGTTATGATACAAGTTAAATAGTACATGGTAGTATAGTAGTGCAAGTTTATACACAAATAAGCAACACTGTTTACAAATCAGCATAGCGATATAACAGTTATTTCCATATCTATATCATAATATTATATAATAGCATATCAACAGTACAATATATCTAATGGTTTTATATTAATGGTCAACTTAGGTTTTATGACAAGGATGAGTATTCCTGACATAACATATTACGGTATATTTTAGTATTTTATAAATGAATAATAGCTTTTAATGATTGTTTCGTATTGTTTATTAAAAAATAAAAATAGGTAGAATAATGAAAAGAAATTGAGAAACATATATTGTTAAGTTTTAATAAAACGATATTCAAATTATTTAATATTTATTTGTATTTTAATGTGAAGTTAACTTATTTAATAAAATCTATCTGTTTTTTAATATACTATGATTTATTACAGATAAATAATAGTCATATTAATATTAATGTTATGCAAACAAATGATTAAACGTATTTTGATCCATATCACTGATATCATTAGATAAGACGCAATATTTATTAATTTATAACATTTAATACAATATAATATTATATTATTTAGACCTACATAATATTTAATTTATATAGTATTATAATGGTTTATAGATAATTTTTGTTTTGGTAAAAACAATACACTAAAACGCTACATCCAGTCATAAACAGTCATTACAATATACTTTTCAAGATTTATATAATATTATTTTAACTTGTAAAAATAATTTACGGCGCAACGTTTAGGCGATAAAGGTACCTTACTGCAAACAAAAAAATATTTGTATTTGATTGAAAGTTGATTTGATACGACGAATTAATAGTTAGGGAAATTTAAATTTAAATAACTCGAAAGAATGTCATTTGAAATAATATTTGTTCGAAATTTCTACTATTATTCCATAACAGAAATAAATTTAAAATCAATGAATAACGACATAGAATACGTATATAAACAGAATATTAATTATAATATAACATAGAATGCAATTTCAAAGTCCAAATGACGGAATTTTAACAACGCAAAATATCACGTGAATCCAGAATGTTTTTGATTTTTATAATAGATCCATATTGAACACATGAAATGCATACAATACCTAAGATAATATTTTTTTATTTTAATAGTTCAACCAAACACACATGTTATTGTTTGCAGATAATATCAGCGTTAATATTTTTTTTAAATATTGTATTGTAGTAATAGTAACTTCATAAAAATAAAATTAATTTTCAAAGTTAAACAGTAAACCAAACCGGTAAACTATTAGTAAACTATTAAAATAGAGATGGTATTTTTATAAATACATGTAAATATATAAAAGACATTTATTTTTTCGTAATTATAATATGCAAACGATAATAGATGTATTTTGTTAAAAAAATAAATTGTTTTCAATTAAACTAAATCAATTTTAAACGTATAAATTGGATAAAAAATATTTTTGGAAACCATTGAGTATTAAGGTGGCTGTGAATTGACTGGCAAACATTATAGATAACGATGAAGTTACCGTTTTGGGAATTCTTGTCACTTCACTCGTATTGATTCAAAATGGCAATGGACAATTTATTATTGTACGCCTATGACATTTTAACACTTCACATAATTATTAAATCTTGAATTTGGCATACAACTCGAAACAAAGATAAATAAAATATGAAATTGAAAACGTTTATGGTTATTTTATGGTTTGTCTTTTTCAGTTTTTAAAATAACAGTAAATAATTTTCCGATTGTAAGTTTTGACATTGTCAAAGTATCTACTATAACGTATTTCAATATTTTGATTGATTATTTACGTACTAAACAACTACATCAAACATGACCAATACAAATTCACTAGTTTTTTTATTTCGTATATTTAAAAGTTTAAAATGCATACTTTTTTTTTTAATATACCTATATTTAAATGATTAGAAAAGAAAAAAATGTATGAGGTACATACCATTAGATTTGTAAATAATTAATCGTTTTTTTTTGTTTTTTTTTATCAATGTTTAATGAAAAAAAAACTAAAATCATTTAAAATATACATTAAATATTAATTAAAATTATTTGTTTAAAATGTTTAAATAATTTGAAATCGTTTCTGTGTATTAAATATATAATATTAGCACTAATGAAATGTTTCAAAATACGATTTATTTGTTTTTAACAGAATAACAAAAATCATAAAAAACAAGAATGTGTCTTTATGCTTAACTTTTTGTTTACAGTAAGAACTAATTAAAAGAGCTCATATGTTATATTTTAATACGATTAAATATATGAAATTATTAATTATTTTAATCTATTAAATAATTTGCGAACTTTTTTGATTTTAACCACTTTATTTTAAATCGTATTTACTAATATGAGCAAATATTAAAAAAATATATGTTTTTATAGGAATAATATATGAGGAACTTTGAACAAAATAAACTTAAAAATAAATTTTTTTAATATATAGTTATATATTTAAAATAAGTGTATATTTAAAGAATGATAGAATCTGTAAAAACAAAATCTGTAGTTCGAAGAAATAAAATCAATTTTGTTAAAAACTGTTGCTCATTAAATTTATTGATGTTGAATATTCCCGTTTTATTTATATACATTTTTTTTTTTTTTTTTGCAATAATTTATATATTAAACGGTGTTGGTTATGTCTTACTTTTTAGTCAGTTTCTTCTCTTTCAATAATCTTTTTAGATCCAATTTTATTTTAAAAACCATGCTTGAAGTTGATTTTTATTATTCTGAAAAGTAATAATAGACACACAAAAACACACACAATCATTTTAAAATCTTTGTGATGTATTAATTTTATTGCACTGCTTAAAATCTGGAATTATTCTTCTATTATTGAGTACTCTAATCTAGTTCATTTATTATTCTATGCAATAATCTATTTATACATGAAATACAATTAGATTTAGGATATGCACAATCAATTATCTATATTCAAAGGCAATTGAATCAATCTACAGTCCTGATTTTCAATTGTGTTTGTTAATTATTATTACATAATATTTTCTGTATTAACTATGCATAACCTTAATTATGGCAATAATCATTTAACAATAGTTGCCCAACCTATTTTGACTTAAAAAAGTATATATTTCGTTGAGTTGTTTTAAATTAATGATATTGATAATTTAAATTATGTAATACACTAAAAAAATAGAAATAATACGACATCCAATCAATTAAAATAAACAATTAACTGTAGCACTGATTATTTTTTTCGAGAAAAAAAACAATTCGAAATTTCTAAATTATATTCTTACACTATCATTCATAACAGTTTTTATGTGAAGTAATGAATACATATATAAATGTTATATTACAACGTTGTATTTTTAAATCCTAAATTACCCATTTGAGTCACGTAAATAAAAGCACGTAAATGTATGGACAAAAAATGCGATTAGTCGCATGATAACTAATACTGATCTGCAATTGGAATTCTATTTATTTGATTTTATTTAAAACTGTTCATATCTTAAAAACTAATTTTGTTATCCATCAACATATTTTTTTTTTTTCATAATTTCAAGGAATTCCAATATTAATAATACCAAGTAAATAAAATTATGCAACAACCTGACAGATTTATTATACTAGAAGAATGGAATAAATGTTTAATGAACGTGAAAATTTAATTATCATAACAAAAAGTTCTTAATTTTACGTATATTTTTAAAAACAATACTTTACATAAGTACGTTTCTTTCAAATAAACTATTTGAAAATAATTTATTTTTTGACAACGACTACCTATTTAGGAAAATTGTTAAGTTTATCCAGGTGTAATATATTACTCAATATAAAACGAAGTCAAGATCATCTATATAGTCAAACAGATAACAACTATAAAAACACAAATAATAAATGTCTTCCAGTACCGCCATAAAAATTAATTTTCCTGTAAATTATTAATCGTTGTGAAAAGAAATATGTAATATAAGAACATTCATAGATACTTTTGACTATCAGCAATTGTTACATTTATTATGATATATTAGCAGAATTACGATTACGTACTGACCTTTTTCACTATTAAAATTGTGTATAATAATATGTTGTACCTACCAAATTTGGTGCAACGTTACCATTGTTTACAATCGTAAAAATATTTAGTTTTCTTTAGTTTTAATGTTAAAACAAAAAATAGTTCTAAGTATTCATCGAACGGTAAACCCTACATTTTTCAATCCACATATACGTTGATAATAAATTTTGTCATTGCAAAATATTGAAATAAATTTAGGCTGAAATGATCATTACAAATATCCACACTAAATAAAAAATATAATCAAAGATACTCCGACCAAAATTAAGAGAAAAATAAACTATTTACTACAATAATAAATTATAAATAACATAATAAAATACAATAAATTAATTGAACTTTTCTTCGGGACCCGATGGGATAGAATTATATGTTAAGCTTTTGATTAATAATTTTTACTATTAAAGTTTTTCATATAATGTGTATATTTTTTTTTTATAATACTGTACTATTGGGCTTTTTAATAGTTCTTATTATATTATAATATAGAATTAAATATTAATATTTTATTCCGATTAATATTTATCATCAACATTTTTACTGATCTTATTGACAGTTAATTTAATACGTTAATTAGAAAATACGAAGTATTAAAAAATATTACGAAAAATTGTTTTTGAAAATTAAAATTATAACCCTAAACAGTACTCGTTGGCAACGTTGCATTAATTTCCAAACGCAAGTTGGGTCAAGTAGAAATATAGCACGGAATCGTACAAACGTAATCAATCGTGCTACCAAAAGGGACAAACGCACGGAATCGTATATCATCGGATATATATTATATAAGATGGTTTCACAAAAACACACAAAACTCACGTTGTTCAGTTTCAGCTTGCCGGTTTTTGGTTTATCACTCTTATAATGGCCAGATAATTGGTAAAGTACGGCTCTGCTTCTTCTTCGTCCGTACGCGTTACTGGTGGGTTCTGGTTCTTCGGGTTCGGCTTCCTCTGTACAAACACAAAACACGTATCGGCGATGATAATGATATTAAATAATAATTGTAATTAGTGTCTTTATGAAACCACACGTTTTTATAAGCTATAAATCTATAAATAACATAATAATCGCATCAGTGGTTTCCAACCGGTGGTAGAAGGGAGAAGAATTCCCCTCGTTGGGGAGAATTTCGATATTGCACGGGAGAAATAATATATTGATGATGAAACAACGAGAATTTTGTTGTTACAATCAGTAATTTAATAGGTATTAAATTAGTTGGTTTATATTTTATTTTTAAAATTATGAAAAAAGAAATAAGTATCATTAACTGTAGAATATATATATATATATATATAGTTTGCTTGTATCATTTAAAAAAAAAAAAAAATAATAATGTGAACTCTTATTTATAGAAAGGGGGTGGTGGGGGCGTAAGGTTTTTAAAAATTTAAAGGAAGGCTCAAATTCAAAAAGGTTGTGAACCAGTATATTTGAGCAGACGTTTAAATAATATTAAACATACATTCGAGCACTGGGTAATACTTTCGGTTAGTCGTATTTATTATTTATTATTAAAAGAATTTTATGAATAATATACAAGATGCTGCGTGAAAAATATGCAATTCACATACAGGTTTAATAAAAAATACATATTATGATAATACACAAAATATTATTTTCGTATTTTATTACTATTATCATTATTATTTTAATTCAATTTTTTTTTTTTTTCTGGTGTTTTGACATGGAATGTGTACCGCTAAATGTAATGAAAATTCGTCATTGTTAAATGTTTATTACCATAACGCCGAATAATACGTTTTTTTTTATCAAATACGTGAATACGACGAGTGCAGGCAAACATCACATTCGTTGCCAGTGAATTCCACTCGCTTCACGTAAGCACCGAAATATGAAATTCAATTTATTTATTTGACAACGACATCAGCACACCACCAGTGATTATTTAGTTGCTCATTGGAAAAATGAATAAATAATATAATTATAATGTTTAATCGGCCAGAAGAAAATGTGTACGCTATGTGACAACATCGATAATTTAAATGATTTACGGTCATGCCATATAAATCGCACCTATTATGATAAATGATAATATTATATACATTATAAATTGATCAAAAATAATATTCTTTTTTAATAGTTTGTTTCCAAAATTTCCATCAAATGTTATAAATATAGTTTGACTCCCAGGCCGATCAAAAATATCAACTTTTAGTAGGTTAAAATTAGATTAGTATATTAAAATTATTATATAATTTTAAAAACATTCTAATGGCATATACAAATATTTCACCATTAAATTGTATTTAAATTGTGTATTGTAAAATTAATTTTAATTTTTTAATTAGTTCTAAACGTATATTTTGTAGCATTTAGTGTTATCATATATTATATATATGAAATATATATGCATTGGAAATCATTCGTTGCAGTATCATAATGACTTTTTTTTTTTAGTTAACCAACGATTTTTTGTATGTTGAATAATTCTTCTACCAAACAATACTCATTATTTTAAAATATATTAACATTTTTGAATATTGTATTTACATAATTTACAACAGAAATAAAACAATATATCTTTTATTATTTTAATTTTTTTTTTTTTTACTTTTTGAATAAAAATCTAATCATATCTGTTGCATAAATGTATATTTCATAAAATTAAATATCTATATAAAACTCAAAAAATATTTTAAACATTTTATTATACAAACATACACTTTTGGTTAAAATAGCAAATATCTGTAGTAATTCAATCATTTACAAATCAAACCGAAACAATCAAATTAATTTGTTAATTTCTCATTTTTCCTTAATCATTTTTTTTTTTTTTTTTTTGTTTAATCTCCAAAAATAACAACTAGATCCAATTTTCTAACAAAACTAAATCTAAAGTTGAAAATAAAAAACGTGTTTCTAATTTTTATTGCTCTCCAAGATAAAAATAAAAAATACATATCGTTGTAAAATCAATAAATTCAACATTTCTCTCATAATCTAAAATATATATTCATTGATTAAATATTATAATATAAATAATTCAAAATATAAGAATTAATTACATAAAAGAACATTTTTAAAACAGGAAACTTATGTTTTGACACGATTTCAGAGTAATTTATATTTAGTTTCTTCTGAGAAATAATGACACTGCTTTAAACATTTAAAGTGCGAAAACATAAATTAAAAATATATTAGCTGTCCGAGTTTTTTTTTTTTTTTGAAAGATGGAATAAAACCCTGAGGTGTCAAAGACATTGTAAATTTTATAAATTATAATATGTTAAATTTCCAAATCATATAATAATTGAAATAAGCACAATTTTTTAATGTATATATACAAATATATTATTGATTCCTTTACTTAGTTATCAATAAATAAGTTGCATAAGTTATAAGTATTCATAATTATACGTTCTTATTGAAAATGACCAGTATAATAGATATAATTATAAATCAAATTATTGTTAATATTTTAACAATTTTCCCCATATCATAAAGATTATTTCGTTGTATTTAACGTTAAAATTTAATAGTTTGACTTTAAACATGTTCTGCAGTATCTATTAATACAGTATTTGAGTAGTATAATTATTTATAAGATCAAGTATTCTTAAAATTGTCTCACATATTACAATATAGCTACAGGTTACATGCTACGTACCATCTATTTTATCTATTTGTGTGTGTGATGCGAGTGAAAGTATGTGAATGTGTCATCAATCGAAATCTTCAGTATTAATAATGTTATCGATTACATTCTTGTTGTTGAAAAATGCCAACAATTTTGCAAATTGGAAGTTAAAGTTATTTTTCGTAAACAATAATAATTCCCAATCATGGTATTTTCGATATTTTTGGTAATTTTCAAATAACTTTAACAATAAGTATTTAAATATACTTCCAAGCGATAAGAGATTATAGATAGTAGAATTATATGTATATTTTGTATTAAGTTCTAATAAACAGAATTCTTAGTATATTGTATTCAATAGTCCAGTATAAAAAGATAAATAGACTAATAAAAATCTAATAAATAATATGTTTAAACATTTTATTGTAGAACTGAATGGACATTGATAGCATATGAGTTGAACATAGCTGTTAAATAAAGCATGAATCATGATATAAAGAAAAATATTAATATATCATCACTTAAGTTACGAGTATAAAACAAGAGTAATATTTGAAGAACATAAAAAAATATTCCTAACTTGTCAAGAACGTGTATAGTTTGTTTTTAGAAATAATCTACATAAAATAAAACTCTAGTATGAAAATAGATTTTTCTAAAAGTTTCTTATCATTAATTTTACACAGACATTTATGATGTATGACAACATTAAACTAAAATAAATAATATTTCGTTCATTTTATCTAGTTAACTAATACATATAGTTTAATATATTTTAAAAGCGTAATGCAATGTACAGACACATTCAGTATGATTTTGAAAGAAACAATAAAATTGGGTTTTCTTAAATCAGCAATATTTTGATTAATTTATTTGCTCGTGTAAAAATGTATTATTCTTTTACAATTCCAATAAATATTTTAACAGAAAATTTTAACCATTAAACGAACAGCGATTATTTTTAAGAGTTAAGATGTGTTTTAAAATGTTGTATTAATATATTATAAATTTATACTTTATATCCAGCTTACAATACATTTAACTAGACCCGAACTTTTGTGTTTTTTTATTTTAAGGATTCATATATTTATACATATACAAGTATTGAGTCCGTTCCCTAGAGTACAATAAGAATATATGAAATAATAATTTAACAGTGAACTTACTTGACAAAAAAAGACACCAAATGGTAAAACATTCTAAAAGACCTGAGTTATATAAATTATATTTGATATTATTTAAATACTATCTATAATTTATTTATATTTTATTATACTCGATAATTAATTAATTCTTTAAATAGAAATGTATTTCTTCGGTATTTTAATATTATTAAAAATTATTAGTCTTATTTGTATTTTAAAATCCATAATATGCGCATATCGTAAAATGGATAAATAATAAGTTTTAATGATTAACAATCTTTTTTATTTCAATTATTAATGAAAACTATTTTAATAATAATTACAAGTATAATAATGTTAGTTTGAAAATAAATACACAACGGAATCAAGATTTGGATTTGCTGTGTATCAACATTAAGCTAAAATGGATGTATCAAAGTTATAAAAGGCCAGATTTGAAGTAATACGCAGAAACACGTTAATTACTTTCGGGCAATATTTGTAAAATAACAAGTACTTTTTTTTATCGTTGATAAAAATATAAAGGCTAGTATGATTATTTTTTATGTCTGAAAATTTGAATTTGCTGTTATTTTTTTTTTTTTTTTTAGAACAATATCAGTTTTTGATGAACTGAAAATAATAAAAAGGTAAATTTGCAAAAGTAGTAATTATTTTTTTAGAAGAAAGTAAAGCATTAACGACTTAAAAGCTATTACTTTTAAAATATTTTGGTATTAACATTTAAAAGTTTGAAATTCATACAAAAGATTCTTAATACAAAAAAATGATAATACAAGTGTGTACTAGTTATATTTATTATTATTTTTTATAGAATATATAAAATTATTTTTAAGTATTATCTAAGTTTTTTTTTTTTTATACGAAATATATATTTTTTTTTAATTATATAGGAAATATGTAAACAATATTTTACAAAAAAAAAAAAAAAAAAAAAAAAAATTAAAAAAAAAAAAAAAAAAAATAAAAAAATATATTTAAAAAATGTAATACTAATACAGGATAATTACTTACGTACATTATGCTTAACCACTAAATTTAATGTATTACTCGTATTATTTTTATAACTAAATATGTTTTACTATATTACATTTTTATATAGATATAAAATCGATCTGCTGAATAAAAGTTTTAGTATATATCAGATGTATCATTCTCCCAAAAATGGTTTGAATATACTTAATAAGAATAAATTAATATTACA